GATTGGCTTGTCCAAAGCCAACGTCCGCTTCTTCATGTCATCGACGCTCGGCCAGACCTGTTGGGTTTGTAATTGCATGGACTATATATAGGTTCACCCCGTGGTTCCATCACATTTCTTGGCTCAAGAGTATATGGAAATGTATTGAACATGATCGTAAATCACTCTAGTGATAGTGGTATCGTTTGATTGTGGTTTGTTTATAACTATTACCTGTTAATGTATACCAATGCCATATATGCGTAAATTCCTGATCAAAGGTTCACGACTTCAAACCTGCTCGCCTCCATGTTCGCATCATCTGATTCGGAAGTGCGGGGAATGAACCAAAAGGGACATTGGAATCCCTCGCCAGGAATCTTGCCTACTTTGTTCATGCCTGTGAGCACCACTGACATATGGTCAAAAATGCCGATCACCAAATGGTCATCCGTCACCTTCGTGGCTTCTATGAACTGTACGCGGGAGGTGACGCATGGGATCACAAGCTTCTTCTGGCCGAAGGTGCTGGTGACCGTGACAGCCTTGGGATGAGCCCACAATTGGAGAGTCTCAAAGTTCTTGTGCTTCTCCATTTGCTCCGCCATTGCACGGCAGACTGCCGCCTTCATCGCCATCAGCCTGAACTCAGCGCATCTCAGCGGCGAATCTGGCAGCCAATGGACCTCCTCTTGTTGCTTGGGGACATGAGCGATCTTCCACTCATTCTGCACGAACGATGACGAGTTCACCCAGACGTTCGTCTTGGTGGGCTCTTCCATCTGCAGCTCAACTTCACCTTCACTGATGCTGCGAATGATGCCCACTTGGTCATGCCTTTCTACCTTCTGACCGACGACAAAACCAAGCCCCTTGATCACTTCTACGGTGTTGGTCATGCGCCCTGAGTCATCATAGGTTCTAAAGACTTCAGCTTTCTTCGCTGCGGTGCTGGGGGTCGCGGTTGTGGAACCCTTCGCGACCCATTCACTTGGGATGGTGATCCCCAGCCCCAACTCCACCAACACCTCACGGCACGCATCCTCCATCTTCACATGAGCCCTGCTCTTCTTGTCCAAAATGACAGCCACGAGATGCACCTCCAGGTGGCCCACTGCATGCTGGAGTGTTAAAGGATCTGCGCCGGCTGCCAACGAAGTGAACTGGTCCACCATAGCGATCGCCGTTGCTGCTCGGCCCAAGGACCCTTTGTTGCTCATGGCCTTCTTTGCCTTAGGCAAGCATAGTTGAAACATATACGTATATTATAGTATATAGTCGTTCACTGCCACTGTGTGTGTGTGAAACATCTCACCTATCATTATAACTATATATTCATCAACGTTATCACCATCATCAGCGTCATCATAGCTGTTCTGCACTGATCTTCCCTGAACGTTTATCTGTTATTTTTGTTTCAATCCTCGACCTGTCTGCCGAAAGGAGTTATACTCCTGGCAGCTCATCCTGGAATCCATCGCAAAGAAAAAAGATGAGTGGCAGTTGCTGCAAAAACCACGGCCATTATCCAGAACAAAACGAAGCTTGGTGAGACGGTGACGTGGCCGGACGTGGCTGAGTCGGTTTTGAAGAGTCGACCGAAGTGCGCACCAATCAAGTGGTCCCTCGAGCTGTCGCGTCATTTTACGATTTGGAGACTACAGGCTGGAGCAGGTATAGAGTTGATAATCTTCGGACGAACTTCCACCATGGTGCTTGCGTCCGGAATGGCAGCCCATCCTGCTTTGAATGCATAAATATAACACATGTATATTCACTTTGGCAGCCCATCTCAGCTGGTCATCATGGTCACAACTGCATGCAGTCTGTGTAAAAGCAGCGACCGAGGTGTCTTCAACGAAGTGGGGTCTAGCGTAGCAGTGTCGTCGCAGTCGTTCAACAGCCAGGAGAGACTCCTATCAGCTGTTGTTACAAAAGCTGCCACTGCCGATTGGCTGTTGATCGACTGATCGAAGCACTGGTATATACATATATATATGGTGTCAGAAACTGTGCGGACCTGGTCTTCAGCGAAGTGGGGGCAAAGTGCATCCCCACTGATCGAAGCACTGACCTGACATTGTCAAGTATCCTCGTCATGTGTTATGTCAGTAGACCTTGCATTGAAGAACAGCTGCTTGAAGGTCTACTGACAGCGTGAACAAGATCCACGATGCTTTTGAAATCTGGGTGGATTTGGAAGAGGAAGGCTTTCAACGAAGTGGGATCCAGTGGATCTGTTTGTTACAACAAGCTTCAATTCTCTGATGCTACCAGGAGTGACTCCTCTCAGTTGAGCTACTCCATGGCACAGTCTCACACGGAATCAGGATCGAAGTGATGTTGAAGCCGGGCAGCAGTATACAACACACCACATGACATAATTGACACGGAAGTTCATGCTGGGCATTTGTGTCCGCCCTTTGGTCAATGGTGGTGTCCGCCCTCTTCCGTGGGCCATGTAGCATTTCTATGCGTTTGTCTCCCAGGTCTGTCACTGGCGTCCCTAACTTCCAGACCACGTCCAGAAAACCCTGTAAAGCTAAGATTGTCGACACGCATGTAGAATGAACTTGGCACACTACTTATAAATATATAGCACGTTGGACCTGCTGTGAAGCGCACATGAGGTATACTTTATATTTTTGTAGCATCCATGCAAGTTGCATCCGACGATGAGATTGGGCGTTCTGGGAAACAATACCCAAATTTCACCAACATGTGTCTCCAGCGAAGGTGGTCTTTGAAGCCCTTGAGCTCGAAACTCAACGCCGCCCACACTTTATCCCCGAGTTCTCGGGAAGTTTGTCCGAAGATTCTCACATAGGCCTCTACCTGCTCCAGCCTGTAGTCTCCATATCGTAAAATGAAGGCAAAGATCGAGGGACCACTTGCGCCGCACTTCGGGCGACTCTTCAAAACCGACTCAGCCACGTCCGGCCACGTCACCGTCTCACCAAGCGTTTTCTTGTTCTGGACAATGGCCTTGATCTTTTGCAGCAACTGCCACTCATCTTCTTGCTTTGCGATGGATTGCATGGCGTTCCCTGCCTCGCGTATGGCCGTGATGAGCGAAGGGAACTCTGCATTCACAATGCGTTTGATCACCAGCCACGTCGAACCATCAGCGACGGCAGCTCTCCATTCAGCAGGGATCTCACCGAGACCTTCATGCACTCCATAGTGCAAGCATCGGCTTGCCATGTTCAGATGGGAGCCACAAATGCTGGCGAACCTGAGGGTGTCTTTCACGGCTGGGAGCTTCCCTATCGACTCCAGGCTCAATCTTTCATTGAAGGACCTGCCATCAAGATGAGTCGCGTGCTTTCAGCCACGAAATGCTACAAACATATTTGGCGGATCAACTCATCAAAAAACACACTTGTTTCGCTGTGCCTCGTCGCATCGCAGTCAGGCGACGAGTCCAGCTCCAGGCAGACCCTTGCACCTATGCCCTGCTCTACATAGCCCATCTCACAAATGGTTCGCATTAACTCGTGCATATGGTGCAGGTCCACGCCCATGCCGCCCCTGTTCGATCGGTGCACACCTATGTGGACGCACTTGATGTTTAGCTGGAAGGCCAAACCCTCTGTTTCCAAGTAGTTCAGGCAACCTGCAGTTGCTTTTGCCATCCCTCCGCTCTTCGCCATCCCCACATACCGACGCAGCTCAGCGCGCTGAACGTCGTTCATGGCAGCAAATTGCAGGGACGAGCGGACACAAAGTGGATGGGAACAAAGTGGAAGTATGTGGAAAGTTGAAGTGCTCGATTCTGACTGCATGGCATTCAATGTGAACAATTTAAGATCGATTGATTCTGTCGACCTTCTATAATTCTATAAAGCGTGCGTCAAACCTTCTATTTGCCAGGAGCAGCTCCTTAAGTTGAATCGTCATGGAACTATAATCGTCATGGAACTACCACCATGGGTTTCAATCCTCTAGTGTTCCAGGAGCACCTCCTGCAGGGGACAGGTCGAGGATTGAAACAAAAATATAGAATAACGTATATGCAACATGGGTTGAACAGTCATTTGCACTTGATGCTTCAATACGAGCCGGATCCAAAGCTATATACAGTTGCCACGCCGAGACGCGACAGTGCGCACCAGTGCACAGCCACCGCATGACCCACGGATGAACCTTTTGTGATTTTACGCTTCAAAGGTCGATCTAGCACCTTGGAAAACTCATCGGTATGACTGCAGCCTTGCAATATCATTCACAAACGCGGTCCAGGATGAAAGAATTGTTCCTTGCGCTGTTGCATCGCGTATTCAGCCCCAAACCACCAGTGTTTACACAAACAATGTGTAGAAGTTATTGATCAACCCTTGGTGAACACATGGGCCAATAGACGATATATAATAGTCGTAATAGTAAGAGTATACACACGCCATCAACCCTTTTTCCAAAACCAAACACGCAGCAATGCATTACCAAAGCTTTCCCCAACCGATTCCTCAAAAGTTTACTTCTTGGGCTTGAAGACCAGCTGGTTCGGGTGATTCGGTGTCTCCTGGTGCACCTTCACCTCCGTCGACTTCGTGATCATACGCCATTTCTCCATGTGCTCTTTGACCATCGCCAACGCCATGCCGTGCGTGACCCTCTCCTGACAGAAGCTTCAATTGAAGCACTGTATATACGTTGCGATGTTGAATTGAGGAACCACACAATTATAGAACACGTATCTCGCAAGGAGCTCAACGACAAAACGAAAACAAACATAATACAAAGGACATTACAAGCACAAGCGAAAACAAACATAAACTAAATATGTCTAGGTCACACGCGCGTAGAAGAATCTGGCATGGATGAAGTTTCCAGTCGCTGCAAAGGTCCAGACAATTGCATGGACCTCCCCGTCGTCTTTGGTCACGACTTCTTGGCGCACAGCTACTATTGGACGACACTCGTGAACCACAATTCCCATCTTC